AAATGTAAAAATAATATAAAAACAGAACTAGGAAACGGATACTGCATTGCAGTGTCTGAATCCAAATGTAAAAAAAAATATAAAAACAGAACTAGGAAATGGACATTGCATTGCAGTGTCTGAATCCAAATATAAAAATAAAAAAATAAAAACCACACAAAAAACCCAAGAAATAGCCACTGCATTGCTGTGTGTTTGAATCCAAATGTAAAAATAATGTAAAAACTGAACCAGGAAATTAACACTGCATTGCAGTGTCTGAATTCAAATGTAAAAATCAAGAGTCGCACGATGAGTGATTGAAAAAACAAAATTAGGAAATAGACACTGCAACGTAGCGTCTGAATCTCAAATGTGAAAAACAGAATCAAGAAACAGACACTACATGAATTCGTATTGACCTATTCCAAATATGAGAAAGAGTGTGTCAGTTTAAGTGGGTGACAGCTGTAGCGGCAGATTTTGTAATTATTGTTTATTTTAAATGCATTTAAGTATCATAATACATAATTGACCTATTTATAATTAACATAAATATTGTTGATCTATTGTCAATATTGTAATTTATATTGAATTTATACAAAATACCCTATCTTAATCTCTCCCTTTATATTATATATTAACTTTCAGTTCAGTTCGGGATTAAATTTTACTAGTGTTAATTATAGTATTTCTTTTAGTGGTATAAAATTATTAAATTAATATTTTTCTTATCGTGTAACAGGTTATCCACTTGCATACCTAGACTGATCTATTATCTTAACAAGTGCTTATCGGATTACCCGATAACGACCAAATTCATTATTGTATCAACCCAAAAATCCGTTAATTTCGTGTCATGTCATGTTGGGTTAACAGTTCGTGTCAGAAATTGTCAAGCCTAGTTGGACTTGCACTCTTTTGAATTTCGTGCCTTCCCTCGGCCAGGCCTAGCTTCGCCAGTAATCAATGTTAAATTAAAGCCAACGACTACGCCATTGGAGTAGAATTGATTCCTCTTGGTACGTGGCCCAAACAAGGGTGGACCAGGGTAAACCAAACCTAAGGACCCAACATAACTTGTCCTGCAAGCTCATATAGAAATCCAGCGTATGGTTGTTTGGCGTCCACAGTATGTAAAAGCAGTGTTCTAAAAAACGCTCTAGACGGCCGCCTAGGCGCTAGACGGCTGTGCTCCACCCCGATTAACCCAAAATCATTTACTAAATCGGGAAAGTTATTAGGCGTCGTAAGGCGGACGCCTGGGAGGCCTAAACGGACGCTGGGTGGGCTAGAAGGAAGCTGGATGGTCTGGGCGGCCTAGGAAAATACGACTGGTCTAGCAAGAAGCAGGCGGACGCTGGCCAATCTGGGTGCTCTGCGCCTCACCGTCTTCTCTCCCTAAGCAAAGTCCACCTTTTCTTGCACAAGGATATCGACCACCTTTTGGCTGAAACCACACTTGGGTTCATCTGGTTTTCCCTTCATAACAGCACAACAGGGCTTTTAATCAGGCTTTTGAGTCGAGAGTTAAAAGTTTCACTCACACCAGTAGATGCTGAGATTCCACCCTTTCCACTTCCAGCATCAGTTACCTTTACGGCTCGCTGTCTCCCTCTCGGTGTGACGATGGTTTACCAGACGAGAGAGAGTATGGATCTGCAATTGCTGATGTGATGATATGGTTGACGGCGGCAATGATTTTTGCAGTGAGCAGCTTAGGGTTTTATTGTGAAAAAGGTGAGTCGGTGAATGCCCTGATTGGGAATTGGGAGGATGTAGGAAATATAAGATGACAATTGGATTAGATGGCTTTGGGTTTTTCGTTAGGATCCATTGCGCCCATCTATAATGGACTGGACAATTCTATTCAATGGTGAAACAAGGAATACAAGGTCCAAACCTTACATTTTATTAATGAAAAAGGCCCAAAAAAATTTATAGGCTTAGAAAATAATACAAAAGGTCTAAAACATAACATATTATTCAATGTATATTCACATATTATGTAGTAAAATGAATTAATTTATATGATGTATAATAAAATTACTTAAATCCGCTTAGACCACCTAGGCGCCCGCCTAGACCCCACTTAGGCGCCTAGGCTCTAGGCGCCAGCCTGCCGTCCGACTAGCGCCTAGCGTTTTTTAGAACCTTGGGTAAAAGGCAACCCCATACAACACTGATTGACGCACACATAAGAATCCCCAATATGACGGAACTTTTAATTTAAGACAAGATTTATTATCTCAAAACGTCTGTAGACTAAACGGTCAGAAACTATTGTTTATGTTAAACATAGAATTGCTAAAACTATTGACACTTATTTCTTACAAAACCTGCATTATTCGGAACCCTGCTGAATAACTTTTGAGAGATCAAACGAGTATGTTATCCTCCAGTCAATCTAAATTTTCATTTCACCTCCCCAACACCAGGTCATTCCAGTCTTCTACACAGTTATCACCCTATTTCTTTGGCCTTGATGGTCTCTCTGTATATATTTTTCACATATTTCATGCAAAACGAAGTGGAAATATCTTCGCAAATAACCAAGGAAAATTTGAATACCCATACATGGTTCTGATTCGGCTGTACGTCAGACAAGCTTATAAAACTGCTCATAAGGGACATCTGTTACTGTAGGATAACAGCACAATAGTTCATTGCTATTTGGATTATGTACATTTTTTTTCTTCTCATAAATAACAATTCTAGGTGTGACTATGGGTCTAAGCCTTCACCAAAAACTCTAGATATACGCTAATGTTTCATAATTTACCAAGAAAAACACAAAAGAATGTCTTTTGACATCCAGATACTAATGTTAAATTGCAAGATCCGTAAAGCTCTGAACACGCAAATGAACCAAAGGGAAAGCTTAATCACACAACCAGGTTATTACTGCATGCTTCTACTTGGTTATTGATAGCCTAACTAATATATAAACAGTCTTCACACTACAACAAAAATGGCTTTTGGGCACAAAATTATGGACACAATGGAGGGATTTGTGTGTCTTTTAACACAAAAAGATTAAAACAGTGCCCATTCAATAAAGGACACTACATATTGTGCCCAATATCAAAAAAAATGGACACAAACACATTTTCTGACAACTTTGTTTTAAAAAATGAACTCAAATATATTATTGTGCCTATATTTTACATCTAAGGGCACAATTATTTGTTTTTTATTATTTGTCATAAACTTATGGCCCCACACCCCATTTTCTCTCTCTCCCCTTAACCCACCCACACCGCACCCCCTCCTTCCCGTTCTCTCATCTCTCTCTGCCTCCTTTATACTCTCTCTTTCTCTCCAACCCCCTTTCTCTCACTACCTTCCCCAGATCAAATCGTGGAGGCTCTTGAGTTCCATCGTCGCCAGAAAACCTTGGTAGGAACCCTCCGCACACGATCTCCACAAGAAAGGATCTCGGAGTGGAGGGGGGTTGGGATCGGCGGAGAGTTTGGAATCAGAATCGGAGGAGGTAATCACAGTTTTGGTAACTACAGGGTCATCGAAGGGCGGTTTCTAGGGTTGGAGTGGGAGGCATTCGAACTCATCTTCATCCCAATACACGAAGCTGGTGAAGGAAGGTTTGGGAAGATGGATGCATGGTGAGTCCGAATCGGGAATCGGGTTGGGAATCGGGTCTGGTAGGGAGAGATCAGAAGGTGAGTCGTGTTAGGAGGCGGTGGTGAGGAAATGGCGGGTGCGAGTCGGAAGAGGGAGTGAGGAGTAGTCGTCATTGTCCTCATTTATTTCGTCGCTGTAGCCTTCGAATTGGGAGTCGGCGACTTGGAGGGAGGAGGGAGAGAAGGAGAGGTAAGAGAAGAGGAAGAGGATGATTAATGCTTTCATCTTTATCTCCTTTCATTTTTAAAGTACGATTGTATACTTGTAAACGTGTGTTGGTTGTTCAGGTGCCATGGATATACAATATTATTTCTTTTAGTAATCGCGTGTTTTTAAGAGAAGCTCTTTTCTCTTAGGATTTGATGTTATTTTGAATTGTCTTGATTAGTTCTGAAAGCTTTTAAATATCTGTGGAGTTGTAGATCAGATATCCCTTCATTGTGGAGTTCTGCGATCAAGGTCCTACATGGTGTATACAACTAGACAGTCTGTAATCAAGTTTAATTTTCCATGGGTGCAAAATTTCTTTGTAAAAGCAGACTTTAGTGTAATTTAATTGGCCAATCTAATCTCTCTTTCTATTCTTTTTCAGCTTCGAAAAGTAAATGATGAACAGAAGACTAGAATTCAGAAAACTGAACATGATTTTCAAGTTGCAGAGGTTTGTTGTCCGTTTATTTGCTACCTGAAACTATCAATTGCTATATGGTATTAATTTTTTTGATATCTCAGGAAGAAATGATGAAGGAGAAGTTTGGGATTTCTTCGATATTTGAAGATTTGATTGAGGTAAGGAAATGGTAATGCTATAATTTTCTAATGCCTGCTGTTGTTGGCAACGTTGTTGTTATCACTTTAGGTTTAATTCTTGTGTCTTTGCCTCTTTTAGTAGACTAGTCAATTAGTAAATTTATCAATTGCCTAAAGGTGGATTCTGTTATGGCCCTGTCTCTTATTAATCATATGCAAACTTTTAAGCTTGAATAACAGTGAAGTGTATCATGTTCTTGTTACCATTTACAAGTACTTTAAAATTAAGTTCACCATACTGCCAATAGTTAAATCCTGCTGTGACCCATGATCAGGTCCATGGAGGATGGTTTCCACATACATTTGGAGTTCATGTAGACTATTTTCAGGTAAATCCACGCAGATTAGTTGGATAACAATGTCAGTCTAATTTCATGACAAAGTATTTATGTGCAGACGTACATTGTGACTTACTAGAATGAGCTTGGAAGACCCGCCTTCAATCTGGGAATTGAAAAGGTGTGTCTGTGATATTCCAAACTTTATTCGTTAAACTTCTCCAATAAAGATGTTCACTTGCCAGGTGAATAAACTGGAATAGCCAAGTATTCATTTATTTGTTTATCCTCAGGCCTTAAAAATGAAAGCTTGTGGTGAGGGTTGGGCTGGGATCATCGTTGAAAGAATCAGAATAGTATGTTATCCCCAACTCTTCTTCATATAATACAAAATACAAAGTGAGACACAAGTTGCGTTTTATGGGATTAAGTGGCAAAATTTGAGTTTCAAAACTCGAGTTCTGAAGATGAGCATAAAGCAGCAAGAGCCTATCTTACTAATAAATTCTGAAGTCATTAGACTCAGCTTTGGTGTTTGACATCTTCCTCTTTTCTGAACAATTAGTGTACAGTCAACTTTTCTATTTGAGATATTGAACCAAGTTGGCAACCTTTCTAATTCTTCCTCTTTTAATTTGAAGAACTGGATCCCAAGGTTGAAGAAACAGTCTTTGGAATTTAAAGCCTATCTTGAACCAAACATTTGATTAGTCACTACAAAAACTGTTGATGTATATCGTTCATCAAAGAGTTTTATATGACCACTTGTTTTCAAGGCACAAAATATGGCAGATCCTTACATTCAGGTGAGCCCTTCAAGAGAACTTTTTTAATATATGGATTTGGTGGATGGAATTCTTTCTTATGGCATTTCTGTGTTATGGTAGGAAGCTAAGAAATATACCGAGCCATACATTGATCGGGTTGCAATGGTGACAAAAACACATTTAGATAAATTACAAGAAAGAAAATGCCAAAGCAGTTCTCCTTGTTGCAAGCCAGGTGAGACATATGTACATCTATCCTCTCAAAACCTTGCACATTTCTTTTTCTTTCTGAAGTCTACTTTCTCTAACCACTATGAAATATGTTTGCCCTCCAACTCATGAACTTCCCATCCTTGGTGAAAATGTGACTTGGTCTGCGATCTCTTGTAAGCCAAAATGACATTATTTAGGATAATTATCAACTTTTATTGTTGTAAGTATCAACTTTTATTGTTGTAAGTATCAACTTTTGTCTTGCTTATCCACTTACTGATGTCCAGAATTTCAAGGTACGGTGATGTTCTTATAGTGGAAAAACTTATATTTCAATTGCATATTGTTGGAGGTTCTATTCTTATGTATTAAAATTATCTTGTTTTACATTACTATAATCATTAAATTATTGAGTTTACTAATGTTGTTGTGTAGGAGGATAGGGAAAAACTATTTCAAGAATACTTAAACAGAAATGGAAGATCTTCTCTTGATGATCATCTTCATTAATTCGTTTATGGAGCAGCAGAGATTCGATGAGGTGCAAGGCTTGTTGGGGAAGATGCATCTGTCCAAAAATGTCTCCTTTCAAGATCTTTTTGCATTAGAGATTAAATATGTAACAGTACAATATATGTTTGTGAGATTGAGAATGTATTGTAGGCTTTCTACATTTTATGAAAAAAAAAAAAAACCTCAATTTCAATTTCAATTTTTCAAATTATGATTTTTTTTAATATTTAATTCATGCAGGCACAATTACATTTTAAGTGCCAACATGGCTGGAAATGGTAGTCTGACAACCAGTGGCGAAGCCAGTAATTCTCGAGAGGAGGGGCGAACTTATATGCGTGCAAGGTTAAAGAAAAATGGCAACAACCAAATCTTTTTATATATGAATGTCTTATATAATTAATCAATACAAATAAATTACAGTTGTTGTCGGCGAAGTTTCATGTCATGAAAACGTCGCATAATAGGATCATTATCAGTAAAAGCAAATACATCTCTCTCAATGTAAACAACCATGTTATCACTCAACCATTGATCTCCCATTTTGTTACGCAATGATGTTTTCACAATCTTCATAGCAGAAAAAACTCTCTTCACCGTAACAGTTGCAACCGGTAACACTAAAGTTAATGTAAGAAAATTATACATTAACATGTAGCTTTCACACCTCCTGGTTCATTTTGTGAGATTTAGGTTAACAAAGTTCATTTTAGAGGTAGTACCTACGAATTGCTTCGCGATAATTGGAGAAGGATTTAAGCACTGTTTCTTATAGTATCGTTCCATTACGTAACTGTATAACAAAAGAAAAAAAAATATCTTAGACTCTTAATCTTAGAGTAGACTATAGGGTAATATCTAATCAAATCACGAATTAATTAATCAATACTAACAATCATATGAATAATCAAGAATTCAATTTTTATTCTAAAGCACAATTAAAAATTGAGTAAGTTGATTAAGGTTTATAGCGGTTACCGCAATCAATTTTTATTACTAGACCATGTGTGATTCAAGTTCCTATAATATATATAATGTATGAATCCTCTTTTATGTACTTCAAAAAAAAATCAATAATCATAGTATTTATATGAATAATCTATAATCGATAACCATAATTTTTTTTTTAAAAAATTAAAAATTAACCTCACTTGGAGCGGCTGGCGTGGCGTCTGGAGCTTGGTGGGCAACGGAACAGGACTTTCTTGTGTTTAATCCCGGGATTTGAGTCAATTTTGAAAATTGAAATATGGGAATAAAGGTGGGGGGATGGGATTTGTAATTTATGGGCAAGAGTGGGGGTAATAATTGAAACAAGTGGGAGGATTGGGATGGGTACTAGTGGCTCTTTAAAAAAAAAATTATTTGATTAATGCAAAACGACGTTGTTTACCAAACCAAAATTAAAAATTAAAAAAAGAACCTGCAAGCTCACAGTTCCCAGATTCGAACCATGAACCACCGTGGTTCCCAGATTCCGGCCGAACCAAAGGGGTTCAAGCCTCGCTCCTGCCTTTGTTTTCGGGCGAGCGGAGGGGCGGCCGCCCCCCTTCGCTCCATGTAGCTTCGCCACTGCTGACAACTTTGTCAGAACGTAGGCACAAAACACCATTTATTTGTGCTAACATCATGAGCACATAACTCAGTATTGTGCCCTCCGAGCAATGGTGACGCCCATAGAGGGCACAAATACAAAGATAGTAGCTGCACTGTTGCTATTGGTCTATGAGCACAATTGTTGGTGCTTTTTGGCCTCAAAGGGCACATATAATTTATTGTGCGCAGTGCTCATTTTTGTTGTAGTGTCAACAGCAACATAAGGTAATGAAGGAACACGCATACCCTATAGAATCATTAAGATTAGTAGATTACTCGGGGGAGATAATAAGTAGTAACTTGCCTGCAATTGTCAAGGAAGATTCAGCCAGATCAGGACCTTGAAGGCTTGAAGCATATCACCTTCAAGGGTACATACGAAGCAAAGCAAAAGCTGATATTGCCAGGTCTATATTCTTTTTCCTCTCAAAACGATTGATAGAAAATTTAGCCTGGAATGAACATACACGTGAAGCATCTCCCAGCCGCAAAACAGGCACAGCACAAGTGAAAGTATATGTAGATGAGCAGATAAAGATATATGTATGATCATGTCATATTTGGATTCAGAAACTCATAAATCGCAACAACAACAATATTTTTATTTTTCTAGATAATAGTCATGGCAAGATATACAAACATCACATAAAAACAGTTATGAAGCCTTATATATAATACCTAGTTTGAAAACAAAAGGCCACTCACTAATACGTTGTTGGGTCATAACCGGTCGTGCCTTGCCCTCTGAATCACCTAGGGTAAGTCTCTCCTATTTGGAAAACCACCATATTGGTCTTTATAGCGAGGGGTTACTAATTCCAAAAAGCAAGGTTTTAGAAAACTTTTACTTTTGCCCTGTTTGTTTTGCACCCCTCCAGGAGTTAGTAGTTGTACGCTGGTGGAGACGAGAATCACTAGCAATTTCTAACATTCACTTCGGATAATGTAGGAAGTTGATTCTGTTTTTTTTTTTGTATAAATATTCTTTACATTTATGCACATTTATCAATGTTATTAGGCCTGGCAAACGGGTCGTGTCAGTCGTGTTCGTGTCGTTTTCGTGTAACACATGTTATCTTAACGGGTCGTGTCGTGTCACACCCGTTATCTTAACGGGTCCTTAACAGGTCGTGTCACTGTACCCAACGGGTAAAGTGACCCGACCCGTTATGACCCGTTAAGAAAAATATATATTTTTTCTTAAATTTGCACATACCACACATTGCCACATAAATATTACTTCAAAACATTAAAACACATTTGTCGTTTAAGTACTACATCTACACTCGAAAATAAGAGCCTAATAAAAAAATAATACATACAGTATTAATCTATTACAAATTTTAAATGTTCAAGGATATGCAAAATGAAACAGTTTTTGTTTTCAAGGTTGTGAAATCTTTCTCAAAAGTTTAACCTCAATTTACAAAATCCTCGATTTACATCGATCATCATGAAATTGCATTGGAACTTTGGCTTGATCTATTGCCTTCAAGAGTTATGTTGATGATGTTTTCAGTAAGGTTTTCCACGTCATAACTATCTTCTGCATAAACTAAGCATAGCAAAACCAAACATTAAAAATCATTCAAATTATGAGAAGTTTACCAAAATAATTATGAAAAAAAATAAAACAATAGTACTATACCATACTTTTATTAAGTATAAACATAAGATTTTGTGGTATCCACTAGTATAAATATTTTAAATTGAAGATCGAATTCAATCATTGTATTCATATAAGGTCAAGGAGTGTAGTTGTAAAAAATCATCAAAAGTGGAGTTAAATTAACCGTTAAATCGTGATTTTTCGTTTATAACCGTCGAAAAGTTTTGTCCCGCTACGTGCTCTCTGAATGTTTGTTTTTTTGCAATTTTTGGCGTATGCGATCTCGAAATATATACAAACATGTTTGACGGTTGGATCATTGAAACTAGTTTCGTAGAATGAGTATCCCATCAAAACAATAGATTCACTAATACTTAAGAGTTTATTCATACTTTTATTAAGTATAACATAAGATTTTGTGGTTTCCACTAGTGTAAATATTTTAAATTGAAGATCGAATTCAATCATTGTATTCATATAGGGTCAAGGAGTGTAGTTGTAAAAAATCATCAAAATCGGAGTTAAAATGACCGTTAAATCATGATTTTTCGTTTATAACCGTCGAAAAGTTTTGTCCCGTTACTTGATCTCTGAATGTTTTTTTTTTTGCAATTTTTGGCGTATGCAATCTCGAAGTATATATAAACATGTTTGACGGTTGGATCATTGAAACTAGTTTCGTAGAATGAGTATCCCATCAAAACAATAGATTCACTAATACTTAATAGTTTATTCATACTTTTATTAAGTATAGTATAAGATTTTGTGGTATCCACTAGTGTAAATATTTTAATTGAAGATTGAATTCAATCATTGTATTCATATAGGGTCAAGGAGTGTGGTTGTAAAAAAACATCAAAATCGGAGTTAAAATGACCGTTAAATCGTGATTTTTCGTTTATAACCGTCGAAAAGTTTTGTCCCGTTACTTGATCTCTGAATGTTTGTTTTTTGTAATTTTTGACGTATCCGATCTTGAAGTATATACAAACATGTTTGACGGTTGGATCTTTGAAACTAGCTTCGTAGAATGAGTATCCCATCAAAACAATGGATTCACTAATACGTAATAGTTTATTCATACTTTTATTAAGTATAATATAAGATTTTGTGGTTTCCACTAGTGTAAATATTTTAAATTGAAGATCGAATTCAATCATTGTATTCATATAAGGTCAAGGAGTGTAGCTGCAAAAAATCATCAAAATCAGAGTTAAAATGACCGTTAAATCGTGATTTTTCTTTTTATAACCGTCGAAAAGTTTTGTCCCGTTAATTGATCTCTGAATGTTTGTTTTTTTGTAATTTTTGACGTATGCGATCTCGAAGTATATACAAACATGTTTGACGGTTGGATCTTTGAAACTAGTTTCGTAGAATGAGTATCCCATCAAAACAATAGATTCACTAATACTTAATAGTTTATTCATACTTTTATTAAGTATAACATAAGATTTTGTGGTATCCACTAGTGTAAATATTTTAAATTGAAGATCGAATTCAATCATTGTATTCATATAAGGTCAAGGAGTGTAGTTGTAAAAAATCATCAAAATCGGAGTTAAATTAACCGTTAAATCGTGATTTTTTGTTTATAACCGTCGAAAAGTTTTGTCCCATTACTTGCTCTCTGAATGTTTTTTTTTTTTTGCAATTTTTGGCGTATGCGATCTCGAAATATATACAAACATGTTTGACGGTTGGATCATTGAAACTAGTTTCGTAGAATGAGTATCCCATTAAAACAATAGATTCACTAATATTTAAGAGTTTATTCATACTTTTATTAAGTATAACATAAGATTTTGTGGTATCCACTAGTGTAAATATTTTAAATTGAAGATCGAATTCAATCATTGTATTCATATAAGGTCAAGGAGTGTAGTTGTAAAAAATCATCAAAATCGGAGTTAAATTAACCGTTAAATCGTGATTTTTCGTTTATAACCGTCGAAAAGTTTTGTCCCGTTACTTGCTCTCTGAATGTTTGTTTTTTGCAATTTTTGGCGTATGCGATCTCGAAATATATAAAAACATGTTTGACGGTTGGATCATTGAAAATAGTTTCGTAGAATGAGTATCCCATCAAAACAATATATTCAATAATACTTAAGAGTTTATTCATACTTTTATTAAGTATAACATAAGATTTTGTGGTATCTAGTGTAAATATTTTAAATTGAAGATCGAATTCAATCATTGTATTCATATAGGGTCAAGGAGTGTGGTTGTAAAAAAACATCAAAATCGGAGTTAAAATGACCGTTAAATCATGATTTTTCGTTTATAACGGTCGAAATGTTTTGTCCCGTTACTTGATCTCTGAATGTTTGTTTTTTTCAATTTTTGGCGTATGCGATCTCGAAGTATATATAAACATGTTTGACGGTTGGATCATTGAAACTAGTTTCGTAGAATGAGTATCCCATCAAAACAATAGATTCACTAATACTTAATAGTTTATTCATACTTTTATTAAGTATAATATAAGATTTTGTGGTATCCACTGGTGTAAATATTTTAAATTGAAGATCGAATTCAATCATTGTATTCATATAAGGTCAAGGAGTGTAGCTATAAAAAATCATCAAAATCAGAGTTAAAATGACCGTTAAATCGTGATTTTTCTTTTTATAACCGTCGAAAAGTTTTGCCCCGTTAATTGATCTCTGAATGTTTGTTTTTTGTAATTTTTGACGTATGCGATCTCGAAGTATATACAAACATGTTTGACGGTTGGATCTTTGAAACTAGTTTCGTAGAATGAGTATCCTATCAAAACAATAGATTCACTAATACTTAATAGTTTATTCATTCTTTTATTAAGTATAACATAAGATTTTGTGGTATCCACTAGTGTAAATATTTTAAATTGAAGATCGAATTCATTACTTGTATTCATATAGGGTCAAGGAGTGTAGTTGTAAAAAATCATCAAAATCGGAGTTAAAATAACCGTTAAATCTTGATTTTTCGTTTATAACCGTCGAAAACTTTTGTCCCATTACTTGATCTCTGAATGTTTGTTTTTTGCAATTTTTGGCGTATGCGATCTCGAAGTATATACAAACATGTTTGACGGTTGGATCATTGAAACTAGTTTTGTAGAATGAGCATCCCATCAAAACAATAGATTCACTAATACTTAAGAGTTTATTCATACTTTTATTAAGTATAACATAAGATTTTGTGGTATCCACTAGTGTAAATATTTTAAATTGAAGATCGAATTTAATCATTGTATTCATATAGGGTCAAGGAGTGTGGTTGTAAAAAATCATCAAAATCGGAGTTAAAATGACCGTTAAATCGTGATTTTTTGTTTATAACCGTCAAAAAGTTTTGTCCCGTTACTTGCTCTTTGAATGTTTGTTTTTTGCAATTTTTGGTGTATGCAATCTCGAAGTATATACAAACATGTTTGACGGTTGGAGCGTTGAAATTAGTTTCGTATAATTCGTATCCCATGAAGTTCAATGGTGTGTGTGTGTGTATATATATATATTTATTTATTAAGTAGATTTAAATCTATTTATTTTGTATGTATAATTATTATAGTTTTTAGGGGTATAAAATTTAATATATATATATATATATAATTATTATAGTTAATATTTTGGGTATAATTATTATAGTATTTATAATTATTATAATTATTATAGTTAATTTAATATATATATATATAATTATTATAGTTTTTAGGGGTATAAAATTGTTAAATTAATATATATATATATATATATAATTATTATAGTATTTTTTTAGGGTTATAAATTATTAAATTAATATTCTGCTTATCGTGTATTGTGTTACCCACGTGTATACTCGAACAAACCCGTTATCTTAACAGGTGCTTATCGGGTTACCCGATAACGACCCGTTTCGTTATCGTGTCGACCCGAACACCTGTTAATTTCGTGTCGTGTCGTGTCGGGTTATCGGGTCGTGTCAGGAATTGCCAGGCCTAAATGCTATGACACTGCATTCATTGTAATAAGAGTTCATCCCATATTGTGCACTCTTAGTTTAATTTATTTTGATATGAAAAAAGGAAGTTACACTTAGTAAGGCAACATAAACATCACCCCTTATAAAGTAAGAAAAAATAAAATAAAATACTAGAAAAGAGGGAGGACATAAATCTTATCCTTCTTAAAAAAGAAAAAACAAAAAAACAAAAAAGAAAATAAGAGGGGACACAGAACTAAACCCCTCTAAAGTAAAACCTAATGCTAAAGATAATATACATATCCTCGCTGTCTTCCATATGAAAACAAAACCGAAGATGTAGGATAAAAGGCACAATCTAGTCTCCTCTAAGCCTTCTTTTCATCATGGTCATCATAGAGCCTATCTTGTACATTGTCTAAGAATTTAAAATATGCATATCTCCATGTCTTCTTAACAATTAAAGAACCAAACACTCCCCAAAATCCTACGATGAAACCTAGTGTGGTGAAAATATACAACCATGGAAATTCATGCTCATTGTCCACACCTTGGTTGTTCTTGTTATCTGCATCAATGCCCTTAATTGGTAGACACTCATTCAGAAGTGGAAAGCCACACAGTTTTGAATTCCCCTCAAATGCAGAAGCATTGAAACTTTGGAGCTGAGTGCTTGTTGGGATTGGTCCTTCGAGATTATTGTACGAGACATTGAAAGATTTCAAGAAATTAAGGCTTGCCAATGACAGTGGGATGTTTCCAGACAAATGATTCATGGAGAGGCTCAAAGTCTCTAGATTTTTTAGATTGGATATTTGTTCTGGAATATTGCCGGAAAAGTAGTTACCACTAAGATCCAAGTTGTGGACAAGGTGTATTTGGCCGATCTCAGTAGGTATTCTGCCATGAATGTGATTGAGAGATAGGTCTAATGTTGGTGGAAAGACGGACAATCTTCGCGGGCAAAATAGGTCTGTAGGGGTGAAGATAGGCAGGTCAATATAATCATCCATTTGAGTTGTGGTCGGTTCATGTACCAACCTTGGTAGTCCACAAAGTTCTTGCGGAAATTCACCGGAAATTTGGTTGTTTGCCAAGCTCAAGAATAAGAGTTTGGGAAGAGTCCCCAGCGATCTAGGAATTGGCCCTGTAATTTTACTACCTTTCAAAATTAAGATCTCTATATTCTTGAGTTTTGATAACCACAAAGGCATCTGACCAGTGAACTCACAATAAAAAAAACTCAAAAATCGAAGATTTTGGAACCCATTGAAATCAACCGTGGCTTCATCAGCTGGCATTTCCTCATTTTTGAACGAATACGAAAAGATGAGTGTTTGAAGACTTTTGCAATGCATTAATATCTCCATTGCCCCAGTGATGTTGGTTAAGCCACCAAGTGAGAGAAAGGACAAAGATTTCAATGCAAGAATTTCAGGTTGTATTTGTCCCTTTATATTATTTGCACTCAAACGAATAGCTTTTAGGGATTGGCATGAATAAAGGCTTGTTGGAAATGTACCAGTAAAGTGGTTTCGAACTAGGTCAAATTTACTGAGGTAACTAAGTTTGGAGAAATTGAGCATGGAGATATCTCCTTCCAAATTGTTGGCCGCCATATGTATTTCTACAAGGTTCGTGCAATTCATCAACGATGGCGGAAAAGAACCTTCAAAATGGTTAAAATCAAGAGCCAAGAGTTTCAATTTGGAGAGCTTTCCAAAATGGAGAGGGAGCACACCAGTCAGTTGGTTAAATGAGAGATCAAGGATTGCAAGGTTGGTGAGGTTGAAAATTCTCTCACCTATGGCTCCATGGAGTGAATTGGAAGGGAATGCAATTTCTTCGAGTTTGGTGGCATTGTAGATATCTTTTGGAAGTAACCCTGAGAGGTTATTGTAACCAGCACGAAAAATTTGCAGTTTTGAACACTCTCCGAGTCCAGGAGAAATGTTGCCACTGAATGCATTGAGGGAAAAATCCAACAACCTAATCAAGGGAGAAGAATGAAGACATATAGAGGATGGGATCAAACCTGAGAAGGAATTGTTGTAGACACTGAAACTAGCTAAATTCTGAGCTTGTTGAAAGAATGGTGATGGAATTGCACCATGGAAGCGATTGCTTGAAAAATCCAACGTCTGGATATGGTGGGATGGCAAACAAAATGGTAGCTTTCCAGAAAGAAGATTAAAGCTCAAATCAAGGATCTCAAGACGATTCAAAGCCGAGAAGAATTCAATTTCAAGTGATCCGGAAAGTGAATTGTGAGAGAGATTCAAGTGGATGAGGTGTGTGAGATTTCCAAGTGATGATGATGAGGGGAAAATAGCTCCTTTGAGACCTTCGGAGGATAAGAGCAAATGGGTGACCAAACCATCTTGATTACAAGTGATGCCCTTCCAATGACAACAGTTAACTAAAGTCCAATTTAAAGGAGGAGAAGATAGCATGGAGGCGAAGGACAGAAGAGAGCCGCGCTCAGTTTGGTTGCATGCATGAACATTTGTAGAGATGATGTGAGAGATAAAAAGGATGAGAATGAAGCCATGAGCCATTGGGTTAGGAATTACGTTGCTCTAGCATATATGTTTTTTACATTCGGATTCTCAAAGTTTGGGTATATATAGAGCAACTAATTGCATGCATAATCCTAAGTTCCTTTCTGTCTTCTTTCTTTTAGTTTGAAAACGATGAATCATAAAGCCCGAACACGTACGCTAGAGGCAAACATCACTACAAACTGAGAAATTGGAAAACAACCATAACCATACAGTACAAATGTTCCAAACCCCTCTATACGTTGAAGAAATATTTCCCACTTGAAGACATTTGTTCTGAATTAATAAGGAGGGGCCCCGTGAAAGGACCATAGCTAATGTCATACAACGACTCACTAGTACTTTGCCCTAGAAGAAGGGGAAGCACTCATCCCTTTGTTTCTACGCAGTAATTGAAAAAAAAAGGTACTTCAGAGATATAATATGAATTGACACCAAAAGCTGGTTTTTGTATGTACGTGTTGTTTAGTACTATCAACGTTTCATATACGGCATGCCAAAACCTGAATTGTCTTAATTGAAATGAACTTGAACACCTCCAAGAACTTTCGTAACACCTTAAACCATAAACTTTCCTCACAAATAGGAAATCATGTTGAGAAAGAATATGACTCAGCACACTTGAAGTAGACATTTAAAACACTAGTCGAGGGTGGGCAAAGGCCTAGATGCATGCTTAGATGATTACCTAGGCGGTCTAGGTAGATCTAGATGCCATTTCTTTATTTTTTAAACGCCTAGGATTTTACTATGGCTATGGCCAGTCACCTAGAGCCTAGGCGGGGCCAAGGCCGCCCTAAGTAAAAGCCTTCTAAACACTGTTTCAAAGTCTACAATGGGTAATGTTTAGAAAATTTTCCCTAGATGAAGACAACCATGCTGAAAAGAACTAATGCATTTCCTGTTAGGTAATTGAAAAAAAAAGAAGAAAAAAGAATAGCTGCGTGCATTCCTTCCACAACAACCAACGAAATCAAGATCAGGAGCTATAGCTAGGGATTCTGTGATCAACCGCTTTAGTGGAATGCCCTTACTCGGTCCAAACTTGATGATGGAATGGCTGGGCTAGGCAAGGGCTACGGCACTTGGAATAAAAAATGAAACAAAACTTCTGTCTTCCAGAACATTGAATTTTGGGGAGTATAGCTAAAATAGAGTGACGTCTAATGATGATTACGTAGAATTATTAAGAATATTTATCAAAGTGTCGTATACATAAAATGCTAAACATGGCCTGAGTTGACTCACGGTAGTCATTCAAATATATCAAGTTTTAAAATATGAACCAAAAGAACAAAATCATAAAACATAAGAAAATCCTAAAACTAATTACCATATTATATTAAAGTCTACGAGTTGACTCAATTGAACAATTATAGGATTTTTACCACCTGCAAAAGCAGGGGTAAAAACACTTAAAATATTTACAAGATTCCAAGATAGTTGTAGTATAAACGGCTCAAGTAATGTCGTTCTCCACATAGATTATTGAAAACAATTTATATTTAAAACCAATTCTTAATTGCTTATTTAAAACAAAGTTTAGAAAAGATTGATTTTACGATCTAAATTAATAAAAATGAATTTAAATAACGGCAAAAGTAAAATAAACTAAAAGAAAACGGTTTTTGAAAATTAAGTTGTAAAAGCACCGTTCCGCTGTCACTTTAACAGTTATACGTAGATCTTTCAATTACTTTTGACTTATACATGCATATTTTGAAGGTTCGGTTTTCCTAAAGTATGCTCTACTTGGACCCCCAATTTAGAATGTATATCAAACATGCAATTTGTCTGTGGTATTCAGATCAAATTTAAACATGCAAGATTCATTATGCTTTATAAAACTTATTAAAAAGCCATGCGACCCTTAAGACGTGATATTTATCCTAAGTGAAATTACAATTATTAATCACAAGAAGCCTTCTTCAATTTCGGGAACAATCCTCCAACCAAAATTACATCAAATTACTTTTCTAAATATCTTAATGATGATTAAGCATCAAGACAATTAGATAGTTTAGCTATGGTGATTACTAATTCAAGACCTGCATGCATAATATAAGCAAATTGAAAAGAAACTACATATTCTTGCTTAGGCTTGTGGTCTTAACCTAGCAAAGAGAGTTAGTTACGCATTGAAAGCTTAAGATCATGAATAGAAAACACTTTGTAAATAAACTTGAATCATCAAAAGCTTTCAATGCGGAATTCTCCAAAGTAGTGCCTAGAGAACCCTAATACACAATACATTATATTTATAGTGCTTTATTCCTTATCATACCTAAACAAGGCTTTCTAATAAATATAGAAATCTAAGTAAAATAATAAAATAATAAATAAAAGGTTTTCTATTTAAAGTCCAATTCAGATTGTAGAGAGAATCAGACTTTTGATCAACCAAATCAACTCCAATTTGGTCCCAACAGATTTCTTTTTAAAGCTTAAGACATTCCCAACAAATCCTCAGAAGGAACCTTTCTTAAAATATGCCATTTTGACATTCAAAATACCAAAAATGTCCATAAACGTCAATTGAAATATATAACAAAGTATCAAAATAAAACCAAATTAACCAATAAGTTATAGAGAAAACTAATGAAAAAAGACTTCACAATTTTGAGTTTTAACCAAAAAACACTTGATAATTTTATTTAATGATGAGGACAAGAGATAAAAAAAAATTAAAAAAAAACTAATCCAACCCAAAGCACGTGCAAGCGCACGCCAACCAATTCAATAGATCAAATCGAGCTTTTACACTGAGGAGTTATAACTGAAGAGAAAACCAACGTGCGGTGCAAAAGCAGCAGTGGGAGTAGTACAATAAATGAGGAGATGGAGTAGATGAATGAAATAATATGCACACAAATTACTTTTTAAATATTTCATTGGGAATGAAAAGGTTCAGAGAGAGAGTGTGTTAGAGAGAGTGAGTGAGAGACTGTGAAGGTAGAGAGAAGAGACTATCATTCAAACTGACATCAACAAACTCCAAAAAATTTCATAAAGAGATTTGAGAGAAAAAAGATGAAACCACTCAACCACATGGCTCGTTTGGATGTTCTTTTAAAATGACTGAAAGCATAATGTTTTTGGGTTCCAAAAGCACTTTAAGTGCTTTCTACAAGAAGCACCAGTTATGTGATTCTTTCAGGAAGAACTTTAAGTGTTTTTTTTCCAGGATTTACTAGCATTTTTACTAAGGATTGTATCCAAAAATATTTCATCAAAAACGCTTTCAGTCATTTTAAAAATACATCCAAACGAGCAATTAACCACTCAACCCTACACGTGGTGTAGACGCTCATCATCATTCCATGTTCAAATTATGTAATTTCTTTATTAATTTTTACTCTAACCAGAGCTAAAACCTAAAAGTAAAGAAAATATTAGAATAGGATCCCCTAATGAAATCACATTTAGGGTTAATTTGGTATTGCTGTACTTTTAAAAAAAAAATTGCTTTTACTGTGCTATGAGAATAAACATCTGTAAAATAAAACAGTTAAGTGTTTGGTAATTTTTATTTTATTTTATAAAAGTTCTTTTAAATGTAAGGGTGTTTGGTAAACTTTTATATAAAAATATTGTGCAAACTAAGAAGTTATATCAATATTAGAGATCAGTTGTCTCAAACGCCTTAAAAATATAATATTTCAAATTTTAAAATATGAACAAGAGGAAAAATCTAAAACATAAGAAAATCCTCCGAACACCTATATTCTTCGAAGAGAGATTTTCCACTTGAAGATGACATTAGACTTGAAGGATGGGCCACCATGAAAGGACCAGACCACCTAATTTTAGCGAATTTGCCCTAGATGAAGACAACCATATTGAAAAGAACAGAACATTAAATTCTGGGAAAAGTATAGATAAAATACAGTGACGTCTAACGATGGTTACGCAGAAACGTTAACAAAATCGAGGTGTCGTATACAGAAAATGCTAAACATGGCCTAAGTACGAAGAAATCTGAATTTGACGATACACATCGTCGATAATATTATGAATTTGAATGCAAAGGTAAAAATCAGAAATGGAATAGCTTGAATTGGATGACTGAAACCCCGGAGTTTCAGTTACAATCATCTCCAATTATTTTGACAGTGAAAATGAGTGATATGAGAGAGAATTTATAAATTAAATTTTTTTATAAATAAAATAAAAACCTAACATGGAAATATGTGAATAGTTAAATGCTGATGTGTACAAAGTCCTATGACTTTGATTAAAAACTAAAATTCAACAAGGTTTCAGGCATATAAAATTGGTGATTAGGAATCGAAATCTAATTTCCCCATATTATTCTCTATAATTTTTTTTCTGTGCATAGTGGACAAATCCAAAGGTGCTTTGGTATGGTATCATTCTGGATATAGATGAACGCCGCCGCCGTGAGAAACAGGAGGAACCGAAAATCGCAAAGAATTTTCATTTTATTTAATTTGGTGCGGAAAAACTACGGGAGCTTCCGATCTCATATAAATTTGAATCGGATGGAATTATAAAGATTAATGAATGCATACAATTTTCTGAATTTTTTTGGTGTTTGGTGAATTCTAATCACATTTACTTTACTGCCAGTCAAGTTTCATGATTTGCTAACCTGCGCAATCGAAGATGCAAAACTGGTTATTGAATTTCAGGACAAGAAAAAGGAAAAGCAAAGGATTTTACACCCATTGTTCTAAATGTTACGCAATGGAGTTATATTTTCTGCCATAAGAATACTTTTGTTTGGAATATAACATTGATATGTTTTACACAGAGTTTGTGTTTTTTTGGAGATTGGTTGAGATGTGCATTTTTTAGATTTATGTAATTGAAAATGGATTACAGAATGAGAACCTCCAGCAGGGCACAAGCAATTTTTCTAATATTATCTAGTTTGAAAAGAAATGCCCACTCACTAATACCATGGAAGAAAATGCCGATAATATCGGCGATATATCGCCGATATTATCGGTTTTTCGCCGGACCGATATTTTAAT